CCCGCCCAGGAGGCATCACCAACTGCCCAGAGCAGGCATCACCTGCCTAGAGGAGGTATCATCTGTGCCTAGAGGAGGCATTACCCGCCCAGAGGAGGCATCATGCACCCAGAGGTGGCATCACCTGTGCCCAGAGGAGGCATCACCCACCCAGAGGAGGCATCACCTGTGCCCAGGAGGTATCACCACCAGCCCAGAAGGCATCACCCACCCATAGAGGGTATCACCCACCCAGGGGGCATCACCTGTGCCCAGAGGAGGCATCACCCATCAAGAGGAGGCATCACCACCAGCCCAAGAGGCATCACCACCCACCCAGGAGGCATCACCCCTGGAGAGGAGGCATCACCTGTGCCCAGGAGGCATCATCACCTGCCCAGGAGGCATCACCCACCCAGAGGAGGTGCCCCAAGTTGGCAGCGTGGTGGGGTCTGGGCTTCTCAGTAAATGGTCCAGAGCTTCCCCTGACAGATCAACTGTTTCTTGGGGACTTTAAGAAGAATTGGGGTACTGGGACTCCCACTTAGTAACCCAGGAACCTGAGGTGGCCCACAGAGGAGTGCCTAAGCCCCCAGCAGTCAGACCAGCTCCACACGCAGCATAATTGCTGGTGATTAAGTAATTGCCAGACTTTGTCCAATAAAAGTCAGCACGTGACCGTGCCCAGACTCTGGGCCATCTCCGGAAGACAATGCCCTAGTGTTCTGTCCCCTGCGCGGCTGCAGAAGGCAGGGGCTCTGCCCTCAACAAAGCAACAGGTCCCGCAGGGGTGGTACTCACACGCAGGCCTCCGTGCCATTGGCCGCTTCACACTTCCCGCCATTCAGACAGGTCTCACCCGGCTGGGAGCATCGCGGGCCTAGGCAGGGGCAGGAGAAGAGAGGTCAGTCTCACCCGCACCACCGAAGGCCCTTGTTACCCTGGGGGTGGCACCCGCACCCAGCCAAGGGGCACTGTCCTCCCCCGACCCTGGACGCCTCTACTCAGTGACATGGGTTACCAGGGCAGGGGACCACAGGAAGCCCCACCATGAAACCAAAGGGCGTCAACATTCTGCCCAGAGTTCTGTAGTCAGAAATGGGGGGAAGAGGAGCAGCAGGGAACACGTCCTGCTTGAAGCAGGATGGGGCGGCCTGATGTGCCGCCTGGACGCAGTGGGGTAAAAGCAGAGACAAAGTGGGCTACTCTCCCAAGCGTTGCCCCCCACCCCAGAGGCTCACTGGGGAGGCAGGGCAGGGCCCCCCATCCAGCCGCCGAGATTGCCTCTGTTCAAACCCGTTCTGCAAGGGGGCAGAGCTGGACGGCAGGAAGGGGGGGGTGGCCACACTCAGCTCCCGCCCGTGGGAAAATGCGACAGCTGCTCGCCCGCTGCCCCGCCCGCCAACAAAGCGCCGGCCTCCGCCTCGGAATCAGAGCGGCCCATTGTGGAGTCGGGGCCGCCTCCAGGGGCACCAGGACTGCACCCCGGAGACCCGGCCCCGCCTCCGCCGACACCCAATACCTGCTCCCGCGGGCGCGCATCTCCAGGGCAGCCCCCAAACACCCACAGGAGGGGGATGAAGGTCCCCCATTCGGAAGGAATTCGACCCCATCTCGAGAAGGGATCAATTACTCAAGCCCCTCCCTCCCCATCTTAGGGGGCTGAGAAACGGGGGAGGGTGGTGTGACATAGAGCAGCACTTTCTGGAAGAGAACAAATAATTCTCGCCTGCAACTCTCGGAGAAAGAGTGGATTAATCACTCGATTCCCCAGAGACCCCCCTCGATGTGCGGCGAGGAGAGATGTAAGAGCCCCCCACCCGCGTCCCGCTCTCCACCCCCAAGCTCTCCAAACTTCAACTCTGCAAAGCAAAAGGAAAAGTTCAGTGCCCCCCGGCGCGAAGGCTTCTTACGCAAACCCCTCCCCCAAACTGAGAGCTGGGCTGGGGGGCACCGGCGGGCGGGGCGAC